TCTAAACTGTTTGGCACTGACTGTAGTCAGGGCATATAGATCCATTTCACTTTACTCACAGTAATCCTGGAATTTAGCCAATGTTAAAGTTTCTTCACTAAACAGCACTGTTTATGTGGTAAGGAGGTAGCCAACTGTAGTAATAGAGAATACGGTATTTTCATGATATTCAGGAGTTACTGACGTTTGCTTATGTTCAACAGAATATTAGACTTTAAACAATTTCAGATTCATTCATCGCGACGTGAAACCACAAAACTTTGCCATTGGCCGTTCACCCAACTCCAGGACGATTTATTTGCTCGATTTTGGATTAGCAAGAGAATACGCGAAATTGGACGGTTCTCACCACCGTCCAAGAGCAAGAGTCGGTTTTCGCGGAACAGTCATGTACGCCTCAGTTAGTGCCCTCAGCAATCAGGAACAATCGAGGCGCGATGATTTATGGTCCTGGTTATTCATTTTACTTCGAATCACCTCAGGTACTTTGCCATGGATCAACTTGAAGCATGCTGACGTAAGTTACACAACTTAATATTCATGATAACGATAACCCGGTTAAAACGAAAAACAAAAATCTCTTCAATAACGATGTATGAAATCCAGTCACATTTTAAAACGACATTTCACAAGTGCTATAGAAGCTATATTCTTTGATCACAGAGTATCACTGCGAATGCAGAAAGGATTTTTTGTGCTTAAAAGTCTGGGAAATATATGCCTTCTGCAGCGGGACAATTCTTAAACAGTGTCAGTGATGATAGTGTATCTATTGTGTTTGCTACTTGTATGAATTCAGTTATTACTGTATCATTGTCGCTTCGAACTTGAAGTTGAGATTATCGTTACTATCCTAAGAACCAGTCGTGTCTGTGTATTTCTCTTCCTTGATTCTTTTCAAGTCCAACTTCAAGGTACATATTTGAAACTACTTCAAAAATTTCAACCATATCGCGGTGGACTAAAATAAAGGATAATTACGATATTAAGAAAAGTTTTGATGTTTTTGCATACGGAGTCTTCATATCAATTAAATTAGTCAAATTTTACCCAGTTAATTTCTTTTCTACTGCAAATTTCGTGCAAAGTTGTGGGTTCATCCCTATCCTCTACACAAGGGTACACTTCCTTCGTCGAAATACGTATATTCGTTTTCGATCTCTTTCTTATTTAATTAACGAGCAAAGTTAATGACGTGCATATTTGGCCATTCCTGACAAACAGTTTACCGGATTTAATAAATAATGCAGTTATTTCTAAGGAATGACTTTTGCAGCCATCTATTGAGAAAATATCACAAACTGCTAAAAACGAATCTGGCAGTTTTCACAATGATTGAAGCAGCAGACGACATCGAATACCTATAACGGGCCAATGACCACAAAAATGATACCTGATTCTAAAACTGTTGCAGACGGAACAGCGAATGAAAACGGCTCATTTTGGATATATTCCCGATATACCCACTTACGGACCACCATATTTTGTACGGATGTTGGAGAACACTCGTCTCATTGCATTCTCAAGCCTGTTCCAAATTGCAGTATGGTACTCAGCGGGCAATCGATCAGATTAGACCTGCACAAATCCTCAGTTCTGCGGAGTTACCGATGATGCCGTTATTGCGCATTCTCAATATAGTACTCATTTATGCTGTTTCAGCTGGAAGAAATGGGACAAATCTCCGGTCCACCTTTGGAACCAGATGATACGATGAACCAGTGCCAATCCGCTATTTGAGTAACAAAATGTTCTCTACCGATTTCGGTTAGTAATACCTAGCTGAAAAAAATACCGCAAAAGTGACGATTCGTTCAGTATAATGCATAGTATACAATTTGGACCACAGACATTTTCCTCTAATCCTAGGGTAGATGTCCTGATGTAGAGGCTCTACCAAGATTTTAGATAATTATGGACACCGACCAGAGATTATTTCTACAATAAGCTGTGTGAAGAATGTATATTTGCTAGATGGAACCGCTTTATTATGTACAACTAACCATATCAGGTCGGATTGTGGTTATTTCATTGGTCGAAAGTATCGGATTGATGACCGACTTTCAATTCTGCCGGCGTTTCAAGAAAACAAACAAACAGCAAAATTTTCTGCTATGGGCGAATATAGCGTCATGGCTAAATACGACCTATACTATCTACATATTGGGTATTACGACAAATTCATCGTCATAGGTTTCGCACTCTGGCTCATGCCATTTTTCCATCAACTCTGTTCATCAGGTGAGTGACCACGTTCAGAATCTCTTCTTCCTTCCAGTTCTTCTTTAACAATTATCCTAATTTTAACCACTAAATTAACTGCATCCACGCGATACTGCCTGCTTTTATAATGTTTTTTGCTTCTCATGCGATCGTCAGGATTCGATTTGCAATAGAATTCGTATTTCACTTAAACGAACTCAGTCTCTGCTTTCATTTCAGTCACTTTTGTGAACTGTTAACAAGTCAATAGTTGGTCATTAAACGCTAGAGCCCTTGTACAGAATTCACGGAAATTTAATTCCAACTATTCGCTTAATACTCCTATCAAGCAGTGTGATACTCCAAATTAATTTTCAGTTCACTCTCCACTGTGTTCATATTTATTTGTATACCAGCACGCTTTCATGCCATACAAAATACCACTTCGCGCAACAAAGTACAAGTATTCAATCCATGTAGAAAATTATGTTTATTCTGTTAATTACCTGTTTAAAAAATGATTTAATGAATTATTTCCACGTTTGTTTTCATCTAACATTTCAACGCAGTCTTCATTTCATGACTTTGTTCGTTTTCTTCATTACAGAACGCTACTTACAAAGATCAGATTGCCGCTTATGCAAAGAGCAAATACGAGGCTATGAGCAATCCAGAAAAGATGTTTCAAGACTGTCCGCCAGAGTTCTATGATATATTCATATTACTAAAGGCGCTGGATTACTATGACAAACCTGACTATGCAAAGATAACCAGGATTTTGAATGCATGCAGAAACCGAGAGTGCAAAAATAAGCCTTTCCCAGGTCTAGACTGGGAAAGAGAAGGAAATACCCGTGAGACTGCACAAGGGCCGCGACAATTAACTTTGCCAAATCCTCCTAGTTTTCGAGACGGTGAAGAAAACGTGTCACTCGCCTACTCTCAGTCGAAAAAGCGCGCCGGAAAGTAATAATAAAACCAATTTTGTACGATTCACCAAGTTGCTAGAGAGAATCCTGCCAAAAGTATCTTCGACTGGGCGCTCATTTGAGAAACTCCGAAACTGGATATTAAGGGAGACGCAAAATGACAGTTATTAATAAACTTGTTTATGTGTGATGCGCGTATTAAATAATTAAATTACGGAATGACGGAATGCAGAGTGAAATATTGCTCTTATATTTATTGAATCATAAAACATTTTTGTTTTTTCGACTGTCGAACAAAAGCAGTACGGAAATCAAGATCTCAGCGAAGCTTACTAGCGTTCGCGATCCAGGGTAGGGTAAAATAAAAATGCACTGAAATTTTAATTAGCCAGAACTAGATGAGTAATTTTTTATAAAGAAATACATTGAAAGATCGACACGAGTCGTAAACTATCCGGAAACACATGTTGAAAGACGCACGTACAAAAGGACTATGGTACAAAGAAATTAATTAGTTTAATTGGCTGAGATCAGGAATCAAATAAACTATGTACTCGATTTAGATATACACTTAACATTCAGATCAAAATGGCAACAAGTTATGTCACACAGTAGCTATGTGACAAAATTTACTGTGGTTCCGAATCTGCTGAATGGATATGAAACAACTGGTTGGGCCTTAGATGACCTTTACATTCAGCACGGATGTCTGAAAGAAAGATTCGCCAGAAAACATATTCGACATTCAACCAGAGGGTGATTCCACGATAATTGATATAGTTAGAACGACTCCCATTCTGAAAGATGAGGCCTGTCACGAACTTCTTAAAATCTTCGGAAATCAAATACTTATGCGAGATGGTGACAAAAGCGCAGTGGAAGCGTTCATTTAATTTCCTGCGCCTCAATCAGGTCGTTTTAGCATGATGACGTGTTTGGATTGTCATAGCGCCTCTATGATATGCCGGATCGACGATGGGGTGCAGTCAAAATCTACACCATTACCAACTCGATTTCCGTTTTGAGACCTGCAGGAATACAGAATCTGTTGGAGATCTCTGCGAAATGCTCAGCTCATTGCTTTTGATGGCCATCAAGGCCCTGTAGCTCCTCATGGGACCTAAAGTATAGCAATGTAATGGTGTGCCTCCGATTTTGATTTTATTGGATGCTATTAGCCGGCTGTTAAATATCTTCCACCGGTCTTCCGACACAGGCCATTCCTAGTTCACAGCTTTGAGATCAAGCCACGTTGCAATTAATTTCGGTTGATCCTGTTGACCCTCTTCATGAGGTAGTCGTACCCCCATTTGTTGATTTGTTAGGGGCATGTAACGGGGGGTACTTCGCCAGATTTCCCAAGACTTAATGTTTGAACTCTTCTAAATGGTTTGATCGCCTTCCTGCTGCTTAACTGTACTCCTGTGTGATTGCCGTCCATCACGGCTTCGTGGCTATATGGCCGTTCTTGGTACTCGAAGATCTACAGAAGGGAATTTGTTGCTGACTTTTACCTGGAATGTCTCGTGACGGGGATTTGATCAATTAACATTCACGTATCAAAGGAGGCGTTCTTCCTGTTCCAGGGTATTCCTGTGGTTACTGATAGAAGAATTTCGAACTCCATAAGAGTTAAAGGATGGTCGGTTGTGGCGTATGCCCCAGCATCGAGCGGGGCACTAAGAAATTTGTCGTTGAGCAGCATATGATGGATTTGATCTGCTGTTTCTGTACACCGCTTCTCATAAATATAACTATAAAGAAAAGGCGTTCTGCGCCGATGAGGAGCATGTGCGTGGTGTAGAGGTCTCCAGCAGGCGACCTTCCCATCGTTGGTTATTGTTATTTATTATTTCGAATTACTACAAGTGTGGGATTGTAAAGGTTGATGTCGATCTGGGCGATGAGGTCGCTGGCGACGATCGATAATTGATGTCGGGGAAATAAACCAAGGATGCATGAACATAGGCGTAGCATTGGTCCTAATTAAGTACATCTGCAAAATTTGCAAGGGCATATACGGAGGAAAAGCTCCTTTTCACGTGTATACTTCATAATCGGAACAGGATGACGTAATTTATGGTTTATTTAAATTAATGCTTCAGCGACACCGGAGAACAGCGCAACC